AGGAAAAAAACGAAGAAAAAGGAGTAAAAAGAGGTAAAAATATACAAGTTATTAAGTTATATTGTCCAGGGGGGGCCCCCCAACTGCAACAAGAGGACATGGGGGGCCCCACTTATACACATGTATTTGGTACCCTTTCTTCATTAACAGAAATATTTATAATAAAAAGGGGTATAAGGGGCCCCTCTTGGCTAAAAATATATAATTATATTCCTTCTTCTTCTTTTATTCATAAATCTTCTTGGTGCATGCATGAGGTAATTGTTAATAACATAAAAGATATAAAGGTATGGGGTACCCAATATAAGGGTACTGGTGGTGTGGGGCCCCCCAAGATGGGGGGGGGCCCCCCAGAAGTAGTTGGGGGGGCCCCACAAAATGGTAAGACGGGGGGGGTAGGGGCCCATATATATAATAATAATGATGGTCCTGTACCTCCTGCTCCCCCTCTTACCCTATTATCTATTAATTGTAAATGTTTAGATAAAAAAGGAGACAATAAAGAAAATAAATCTATTGTTATGTTGTCTCTTTGTATACAAAAAAATATTGATATAGAGGATCCTCTTTCCTTACCTCAATTAAATAAAGAAAATGTATTCTGTGCTGTACGTCGTGTACGGCCCAACAGCAGCAGCAGCAGCAGCAGCAGCAGCAGCAGCAGCAGTAGCAGTAGCAGTAGCAGTAGCATATCAATAGGACCAGGAGGATCATCACCTGCTGCAGCAGCAGCAGCAGCAGCAGCAGCAGCAGCAGCAGCAGCAGCAGCAGCAGGAGGGAGGATATCTGCACGAGCTAAGGCAAATGGATTACCTGTATCCTTTGAGGAGCATGCAGGGAAGAATAACATACGTATATTTGATTCAGAGAAAGGTTTGCTGCTGCATGCGCTGCAGCGTATATGCATGCAGGACCCTGATGTATTAATAGGGCATAATATATATAATAATATATTAGATATATTATTAAGAAGATGTATATATAATAATATACCTATATGGCATAAATTATCTAGACTAAAAAGATCCAAGACACAGAAGCCCCCTTACTGCAGCAGCAGCAGCAGCAGCAGCAGCAGTAGACAGCAGCAGCAGAAATCTAATACATTATATGCAGGGAGAATATTTACTGTAGGGAGAATTGTTTGTGATACTTATCTACAGGCAAGAGAATTATTAGGACATAAAACTAATTATAATTTATTATCTCTCCTTAAGGAATCATTCAGCAGCAGCAGCAGCAGCAGCAGCAGCAGCAGCAGCAACAGCAGCAGCAGCAACAAGAGCAGCAGCAACAACAACAGCAGCAACAATAAGATAGCAGCATATAATCGTCAAGTATTAGAGAAATTAAGAGAAATGCATGCATATAAGGAAGAAGGAGAAGAAATAAGAGAAGAATATTTTTATATATATGAATACAAGCCCCTAATGCATGCATGCATGAATATAATAAAAGAAAGTTATTTATATTTAGTATTACAGCAACAATTATCTTGTTTATCTATTACTCGTGAATTATCTATTATATCTGGTTATTTATGGTCTTTTTCCTTAATAAACAAAAGGGCACAAAGAATTAATTTCCTTCTTATGCATGCATTACATCAACAAAAAGTTATTTATCCTGACCCTATTACTCCTAATTATAATTATAATAAAAGAGGAGGAGGAACAGGAGGAACAGGAGGAGGAGGAGGAAGAGGAGGAGGAGGTGCAATAGAGGATGATGATATTGTATATAGTGATGGAGAAGGAGGGGAAAGAAATAATACAAATAACAACAACAACAGCAGCAGCAGCAGCAGCAGCAGCAGCAGCAGCAGCAGCAGCAGCAACAGCAGCAAGAATACATATACAGGTGGTCTAGTACTCGAACCACGTACAGGTTTATATGATACATTTATATTATTATTAGATTTTAATTCTTTATATCCTTCTATTATACAAGAATATAATATATGTTTCTCTACTGTACAGCGTCCCTACTACTGCAGCAGCAGCAGCAGCAGCAGCAGCAGCAGCAGCAGCAGCAGCAGTAGCAGTGGGGAAGGAGGGGAAGGAGAAGGAGATAATGCATGCATATATGGTATAGATTCAAGCCCCGGTATACTACCTCGTATATTGGAGGATTTAGTAGCAAGAAGGAGACAGATAAAGGCATTAGAGTCTGAGGCATTATCTGCTGCTGCTGCTGCTGCTGCTGCTGCTGCAGCAGGAGGAGGAGGAGGAGGAGTATTAATAGGATTAAATCGTCGTGTATCTGTATTGCATGCACAACAATTAGCAATAAAATTAACAGCAAATAGTATATATGGTTGTATAGGGTATAATAAGAGTAGATTTTATGATAAATATATTGCCTCTTTTATTACCCAACAAGGAAGGTGTCTCCTTTTATCAACAAAACATAAAGTTGAACAAATTATTAAATTTAATGTTATCTATGGAGATACAGATTCTATCATGGTAATTCTTATATATATATATATATATTATAT